AATATATCCTATCTGTGTATCACTCGGCTGTAGATCCTCAAATTATCTCTGCTGACACTGCCCTTCTTTCTGGAGGGGGGCTACTTTTGTTCCCCAGGGTCCCTGTGTGTGTTGTAAAGTAGTCACCACTCCAAGCTCGCTCCCGTGATGGACTACAATCTCATGTTTAGTGTACTAAGTTGCATTGAGATTGTAGTCCATCCGGGAGTGAGCTTGGAGTGGTGACTACTTTACAACACACACAGGGACCATGGGGAACAAAAGTAGCCCCCCTCCAGAAGGAAGGACAGTGTCAGCACCAATTCAGAGATGATTGGAGGATCTACAGCCGAGGATAGACAAATAAGAGACATTTTTGTTAATAATTGAGGTGCTTGAATTTTTTTTCAAGATTTAACTCCTGAGTTTAGTGTCACTTTAAGAATGTGTAAATACTTGAAAGTCCATAGCTTGGCACCAGATTTAATTTAAGGTGGCATTAGACACAGTACGGTATTTGGACAAGCGGGCTCAATCAGGTACTGCTGGATACATCAAGATCATATATGATCAGCTCAGCGAAATATAAATAATCCTGTCAAAGGAGAGCCGAGTGTCCAATGACCTTTATTCTAAGGGAACAAAGTATTAAGAAATGTTTTGTCACAATTGGTTTTCCCCTAAAATGGATGACCAGTGGGTTGTCTGTATTGAGTAACTGCCATCTCACATCTATGACCCCTTTGTATTTATAAGATTCTACCATTGCTGCCCAGGAGTGCAGGAGCTACCCTGACCTTCAGGGCAACCACCCCTGTATGGAAGGCTGTCCTCTTGATTTGGAGCTCTAATAGCACTCGGGTTTGCCTAAAGAAGGGACCAAAATGGTTCTGAAACGTGCTACACATTGTGAATTACCTTTTTTTGCCAATAAAGAATTGACAGAAGTCGCTTTAAAGTGCTGGTGACTATTTTTTTAATTTGTCTCTAATAGCACAAGACAACACAACACCTCAGAAAAACTAGGAAGCAGATGGCATATGATGTCACAGAGGAAACTGCTTTTCATTGGCCAAAACAAAAAAAATGCCTGAACAATGAAAACACATGAAAATGCATCAAAAATGCACATTTCCCTCAACAAAAATTACTTCATAAATGCCTGAAAATACTTTCACTCAATGTGAATGGGGGCCTAGAGCAGCTGAGGGAGTAAGTTAAAAAAAAAACAAGAAAAAAAAAACCTATAACTTTGTAGTAAATCTGTCACGCCAATCACGTTCAGCATTGCTTTGCTGTGCCACAGAATTGATAAATGCCCCCACAGATGTGCAGGTATACAGTATATGTATGCACTACATTTAACTTGCCATTTCTTTGCAACTGTTTACATTAAATAAAAAAAAGAAACTTTACTTTAACTACCCCAATAAGCTTTGAACCCTAACCCTTGTCCTAGCGACAGCTCCATTTACCCACAGAGGAGTCCATGCTTTGTAGAGAAAAGTCCACCTACTATAGAGGATGTGCGGAGCGGCAAAGTCTAAATTCCATGCTCTACCGTGTATGTTTTTATCTTTAATCAAAGCTCAATCCCCAATCCCCAGCCCATTGCCAACATCTGCCAAGGCCAAGAACGCAGCCTCCAGTCCCATTGCAGCTGTTGAGAGCCATTTTTGTTTATTCAGGTAAATGACCAACATTTCTTCCAGGGGAAAAGCCCATCTAAAACTAGAAATGATAGCTCTGACTTGTAGCCCTCCAGCTGCCTCGGGCACGGAATATATTACACAGTCTTCAGCAAAGAGAGATTCTAGCACGAGGTGCTGCCATTCTGCAGACCTGCTTTACCTGCACTGACAGTAATGACTTCCATTGCAGTACCCTTTCTGAAGGAGTCACAGCACACCAATTTTTCTTTTTTAATATTAAAGTGAACCCATCGTAGGCAAAGTAACTTCAAAGGGTGCACAAGAACCCTACTTTACTACAAAACAGGCAGTAAACATTTTTAATGAATTCTCTTTGTATACTCAAGCAAATACATGAATGTCTGTTGAAACTTTAGGGAAGAGGGTCTGATACAATGTAAGTTTTCTATAGTTAACAAATACAGGTGAAACTCGAATAATTAGAATAGCGTGCAAAGTTCACTTATTTCACTAATGCCACTTAAAAGGTGAAACCAATATATGAGATAGACTCATTACATGCAAAGCAAGATAATTCAAGCCGTGATTTGTCATAATTGTGATGATTATGGCTTACAGCTCATGAAAACCCCAAATCCACAACCTCAAAAAAGTAGATTATTACATGCAATCAATAAAACAAGGATTGTACATAGAACAATATCGGGCCTCTGAAAAGTACAAGCATGCATATGTACTCAGTACTTGGTTTGGGCCCCTTTTGCAGCACTTACTGCAATTACTTTTGCACCATATTCTAATTATTTGAGTTTCACCTGTAACTCACAATGGTTGCATTGTAAGCCTGGTAAGTCAGACTTGTACACAGTATTGGTCAAAGAAGTACAATCAGCACAAGTAAGATTTGTCTGAGGGCTAGTTCACACCATCCTTAGTGTGTTCCGGCCCGATTGTGGCCAGAACGCACTGGATTGCATTCCGGCCAGCTCACTTTGTTGTGGGGCGGGCCGGTGCATCGAAGTGAATGGCACCATAGCCACGTCCTCCGGCTGCAATGCGATCGGCCGCACTGGAACGCGTGGCACATCACTGCCTGCGATTCGGTCCTGTCAGAAAAAATAGTGCTTGCTCGCCTATCAGTTTTTCAGGTGGACCCGATCTGATGCCCAATGCAAGTCTATGGGCAGCCGTGTGTAAACGAACGAGCGTCTGTTTACACCCAGTTAGTCCCGCCGGGTCTGGCGCTACTGATGGATCGGAGATCTGTTACGCCAGACTAGATTGTGCTGGATCGGGGGTAATCTGATGTAAACGGACACATGTCCATCAGATTCCCCATAGACTGACATGGGGTCTAGCAGTTTCCGTATTTTCCTCCATCGCAAGGTGGATGAAAAAAAAAACTGTATGGACACAGATGTGTCCATACAGTTTGCATGGATCCTCTCCTGATCAGCCCGTGTGAAATGGGCCCTAACCTAAACTTTATCCCAGAAACAGAATTGCAAAGATTAACCACTTGATGACCTCGGTGTTAAACCCCCTTCCGGTCCAGGCCATTGTTTCAGTATTCAGCTTTGAGGTACTTTGACATTTATTTAATGATGAAACGCTGTACTGAAATGAATTTTAATTACTGATAACACTAAACTAAATGGTAGTTTTTTGCAATTTCGCGGGCGCACACAATTTTAAAGCTGGACATGTTTGATTTACCCGATGTGACCCCATCTTTTAAATTTTACCAAAAAATTGGGTGCTGATAAATGTTTATAACATAACGTAGGGAAAACAGGTTTTCTTTTCAAAATTTTCGGTACTTTTTTCATTATGTAGTAAAAAAATAAAAACCCCAGGGGTGATTAAATGTCACCAAAAGAAAGCTCTACCTGTCCCTAAAAAATGGTATAAAATTAATTTGAGTACAGCGTTGCATGACCGGAGCGCTGAATACTGAAAAATGGCCTGGACAGGAAGGGGGTTTAACACCCCAGTCAGCAAGTGGTTAAACTTGCTTTTTTTTTTATACTCAACTTTATTGCCATCACATAGTTGGATAATAAGCCCTGTATGTGATAGCACATATACAGCGACTGGTCCTCTTTAGGAAACACCAGCGGTCTATTAAAACCCTAATGTCACCTAGGGACCCCCAAAAATCTGCTTCTTCACTGGTTACAGCAGCCGAAAGAATGACAGGCTGAAACTGGAAGTGATGTAATTCACATCACGTCCGCATTCAGTGATTGGAGGGGAGTTCAGCCAGTGGAATGTGCTGATCTCTCCTCTGATCCAGCCACAGTGACCTGCCATGCCAATCCCAGGCCCGCACGGAGGACAGCAGAGACTGGGATAGCCAACGGCGGTGGCAGAGAGCACACTTTCCGCACCATACATGTGATCGAGTGGCTCTATACCTGCCCGAACACTTGTATGTATCCAGCGTCTGAATTTTTCAAGCTTTCCCGAGTGCAAGCCCACCCAGTCAGGCCACATCCATCTGTTTACTGACAAATCGGCCAGACGGCAACCAGTTAAAGGGATAGCGGTGTCTAAATTTGTTCAGACATTGCGGGCAACATTTGGGGCAGTGCAGCATTTAGGGTGATATCTCCGTTCAGTCACAGGGAACGCACACTTGGTGCTCTGCTCTAAATTATACTTGTCAAGAGAAAAATACAACTGATACCATTGCTGACTGCTTATAAATGTTAGCTGCATGTCTGGGGTCAAGAGGGCTTCAATGTATTCTGAATCACAGAGCTAGAACACATGTACAGATCATGGAAATCAGAGAAAAGTCCATATCTGCATATTTGCCCTGTGATGGTGGCTCCGTGTGTTGAAGAGCGAGCAAGACAAGTTTAATTTTCAGTGGGTTTCCCCCCCCCTTCACTGTTCAAACCATAAGTGTGCGGTGGTGCAGAAAAATGCAGCTCCGTTGACATAGGGTGAACAAGCCTGAAGTGTGTGGATGTGTCCCTGCCTGAAATTTACTGTTCTACTAGTTGGTGGCTCTTCTTATTTATTCCAGTTCATTGACTCACTAGGTGGTTAGGCCAGGACAATGATGACAACCATGGACCAAGTCAACAATGGTGGCTCCCATATTTTTATCCTCACAGCTTGCCTTTATATAAGGGGTCAATGACTGATCACATCACAATTTCAAAAGACATATACACGTCGTTTACAGCCATATCAATATGTTCTAAAAAAAAAGATTTTAATATTAACATAGCAATGAATATTCTGTGTATAGGTCCAGGCAGATGAGCAAAAACATATTTATATCTCAATCAAGCAGGACAAGTTACATTCTAGAATAGGAGTGCGCAAAGAGAAGATATGCTGGACAAATGTACTTACTGGTCAGCTTGTTGTGACTCAGGATGAGTTGGGTGATGTGAGACAAGGTGACTGGAAAAGGAAGAAGAAATGTCAAAATTTTAATTTTAAAATTTCATTTTAGGAAATACACATAACTGGCAGCTGTAAAGAAGACCCATATTAATGACAGAAGACACCAGTTACACCTGTAGTAGGCATCATCTGATGGCTTGACTTACTTTCCCAGCTCGTATCCCCTGGCCCAATCCACAGTGCAGCCCTGGTGAAAATTCCATTCTCCTGGGTATAAGGCAAACGTGCACACTCCCCTTGCCCTCCCACAATGGCGTGCTTGGTACCTGGGTATCCAATACGTAGGCTCAAATGCTTCCACATGGGGTTGCGTATGCCTGGTAACATGCGTGCTCCAACCCTGTGGTATAAGCACTATTTGCATTATAATAAAGGCCAGCTACAGAAGAAACGAGGGGGGATACAAGGGTGGGAAAAGTAAATATAGACACTGGTGGGTACCTTCTACACAGCAGGAGAGGTGGGATAGCCTGGGTTTTATTTTTATGCTAGTTAACAATACAATACAATACAATACAATACAAAAACATACCAGTAAAAAAAAAAAAAAAAATCAGTTACACCCAGCAATTGTAAAAAGTGATGAGCACACTGACCTGGGTCAGGTTCGCATGGATGTTCGTCAAACCCAGCCACAAATCCAGGTTTGATGAATGTCTAAGCGAATCAAACCCAGTGCCACATAGCGTCACTGGTTGTTAGGATGCAGGCTGGTGCACCATGACAACCAATGATGCTGTGGGTCCCCCAGCATCTTGGCAACCAATGCTGCTGTGCGACTTAACTACCAATGATGCTATGCATGCCACGCAGTGTCAGTGGTTGCTAGGACAAAGACAGAGGTTCTGAGGGCGGGCATCAAAACATTTGCCTGTTCAGTGAACTGGGAACAGCTTTGGTTCCGGTTGAACTTATGGTGAACCCGAAACTGACGCTCACCCCCTAACGTGTAAACATCTAAAACGGTTTTATAAATGTAATACACATATGAATGTATAAAATACAAAAAGTATGTTTATATTGACTGCAATACAAAAACCTGCGATCTTTTCTTTTCGTGGAGTCTGCTTTTTTAGTGTGCCCCTCCCCACACTTGCTGAAATATATTTATTCATTATTGGTATTCATATCGTGCTGACAATTTACATTAGTCCCTGCCCTCAAGGAGCTTACAATCTAAGGTCCCTATCATACATACAGGGCCAATTTAGACAGGAGCCCATTAACCTTCTAGCATGGTTTTGGTGTGTGGGAGGAAACCGAAGTACCTAGAGAAAACCCAAGCAAGCACAGGGAGAACACGCAAACTCCTTGCAGATAGTGTTCTGACCAGGATTTGAACCAGGGACCGACAGTGCTAACCATTATGCCACTGTGCTGCTCACAGGTAATGATGTATTACCTTAAAAAAAAAAAAACACCTGTAGACCTGTAGAGAAAATAAATGTAGATGAATACACCTAACTTTTTGAAGGACAAAACCTGCACTTATGGAAGGAGAAAAAAGAAGAAAAACCGAACTAGCTAGAAGCTGCTAAACTTAGGCGGTGAGCCTTATAGGCTCATCGATCCACAGTACAGTGCTTGGGTGTAACACCTAACTTTATACCTGGCTTCCAAATTTCAGAGGGTGATGTCATTCTCCTGCTGATGAGATCTGGAGGATGTGGAGTACTCCAAATCTGGCAAGGACCACCTTCTCCATGAGAGCTGGCTCCCCTACATTCCCTGGGATCTTGCTGGAAGGAGGAGAACATCACCCTCACTTAGCACCCATGAAGGGAAGCCAGGGAAAGGTAAGTATTTAATCTAACTCCCCCACAAAAAAGATTTTTTATGGGGGTTTAAACTGCAAGGGGGGAGGGTGGTTGCACTAAATAATCTAGCCTTGTTATTTAGGTGCAAGGTCTGCTTAAAGATATAAACAGCACTGCACATTTAAAATTGCGCATGCACTCCGGCTGGCTCAAACACTGAGCATGCGCAGTGCGCTCTGTCTCCCTCTGTAGCAGCGGCTGGGCTGAACGGAGAGAGCGCATGCTCCTCGAACCAGCCACACCATGTGCTGATGGGAAACGACGCCGGACAGAG